TTGTCCCTGTGCTTAACTAAGTATTACGCCATGGAGATGTATGGAGGAGTGGATGTATAGATCCACACTTTCTTGAACTTGGTACTAGTTGGAGGTGTAGCTGATTGAGGCACTATGATACAAGCCGGAAGGTTGGGAGTTCATATCCTGATGAGATCACTGGACAAAAGACAGTACAAATATAAAAATAATTTATACAAGAAATTCTGATAAGAACCGATTGCCTACTTTTATTTGATATGAATGGACCGCATAGAAAACGATGCCTCCAATAATTCTTCATTGCTGTGGGAATGTGTTTACTGGGTCGTTGCCTAGCAACAATAGGGAGGTACATAGTCAGTCCAGTAAACCGCTGCTGACCCTTGCCAGCAAAGTGATTCTTGGTTCCTAGTCCCACAGGACTGAAGACCATATTTTACTGCTGGATGGCTCTGGGAGCCTTCAGACCACTACTTTAGCAGTACATATACTAAAATTGTGGATACAGACACACCGATTCTCCTTTGATACAAAACAGACCATACAGAAACAACACATCAAACAATTCTATTTTTGTATGTATTCGTTGCCATGGGAACATGTTTACTGAGCCCTTGCCTAGCAACAGTAGGGGAAAGCACACAGACATGACTAATGGGAAGGATTTAAAAGTGTGTCATTGAGATGGGCTCAGGTGCCATGATATACATACCAAGTTTCATAAAGACTGGTTCATGCATTCAAAAGTTGACAGGGTTGGGGATACACAGGTACACAGCAAGGTAATCTCATAAGCATACTTTTTTTAAATAAGAAAAGTAGGGTACAGATGGTGAATGGAAAGAATTAACTGCCCTACTAACATAATAAAATTTAAAGGGCTTTCCTTGTCAAGTATACAAGTAAAATATAAGTACCACGAAGAATCTGGCTCAGGACGGGGACCAATGAAGGGCTCATGCAAACACAGTAACAAACCTTCTGGTTCGACAAAATGTTGGGAAGTTAGAAAAATCTGGTCACACAGCACCACATTAGCACCTTAAATGGAATGTTCAAAGGGTATGGGGAGAGACATAAGTGTGTTTACAAGGGATTCTGAGCAAAACTCATAAAGCCCTTTCATACTGCATAGATTTCTAGATCCACAGACCTGTTACCATTATTACTGTTAACCTCTTTTATTTTTATTGAGAACTTAAGTACAGGTTCTTTCTACATTAAATGCCAGATAAATCTCAAAGTTCATACTACTGCCTATATGTATGCTTTTTCATGCATGATGTGTTCATATCTTTATGACCTATTTAATATCAAATTTCATTTAGTTTATTTTTCAGTTATCTTCCCATCAAATGCAGTATATCTACATATAACATATGCAGTTCAGAATCATTAAATAACATGAATAGGTATTCAATATGACAGTATAATCTCTGTAACTCACATGCATGATGTAATAACACTTAATATAAAAGATAACATTACAATTTATCTTTACCTTAGCTGCTTATTTTAGTCCCTTGAGGTGTGTGATGTCTAAAAATATTTCCCATTAGAAACGGCACAAACAACTGTACGTGGGCAAGGCCGGTAGTGCCTGCCCTCTACAAGACTCTGCAGAGGAGTTGCATATTTTTCAAAGCTTTGTTACTTTCAGAACACAACAGTGAAGAGTGGTAGTGTTGCTGCAGTCTCAAAGTATGAATGTCCACCATGCTTGTATTAGTGATAGTAATTAATAATGTAAGATGACATGATGTTAATACTAAATAATTTAAACATATTAAAATTTAATTGAACAAGACATATGTAAAGTTGTCCCCATGCCTAAGCAATATGCCACAGGCAGCAGTTTCATGTTCCATCTGCTTTAGCCCTACCAGAAAGACCCTGGTATCCATTGGATATGAATGAGTGGATTCCAGAACTGGTTTGGATATGTTGGGGGAAATATTCAGGACATTGAATACTGAATCCCCACTCACCCAGAACATAGTAATCACTCTACTACACTATCACAGTCATACCCTTTGGTATGTAGCCTTAACTTTGGCTAAGATACATATACACTTACACTGGCTTGGTTTGGGGATGTCATCTTTGGTTATTCATCATCAACAAAGGTTCAAATTAGAATGGGCCCTTCCACCTTTTCTTCTCTTCCCTTTCAGTATATACTAGTGAACTGTTTTCATCCATTCTTTTTCAGGTGGTGTAACCAAGCTGGCTGACATTCATTTGTTGAGTACAGGATATTAAATATAATTAGTTCTTGTTAGATCTGAGGTTCTCATGACAATGACTATGATGAGCACTGTCTTTTGGGTGTGATGCCATGCAGTCTGGTAGAAGTTTACCATCAATTCAAAGAAATATACTGCCTCCATCGTCAGGATGAAAACGTGAAGCAAGTATTCAGCGAGAAGTTACTTGCTAGTTCTTGCTTTCTGATAGGGTCTGTTTTACAACCTGCAACAGTCTCTAGGAACCTCACTTCTGTTTAGTTAGTGTCAAGCACTCTCATCAGTACAGCCGTGAGGATACAGGTATTACTTTATAACGGTATACCGTTTCTCACGGTGTTGTCGCTTGCAGAATTCTTATACTTTTTCTTCTACCCTGAAGATGGGGGCGATACGTTCCTCCGAAACGTCGGTTAACACCACATATACACGGTGCCAAATCCCAGAAGACTGCTTTCTTCAAGATATATATTGTATCCCATTTACACACATTGATTTCTTCGACTACTTTGTCATTCATCACAATTTTGGCTTTTACTGGTGATTTACCTTGGAATGCCAAAACCTTTGCCTTTACAGTTGATATGTTCACATTATGTTCTCCTGCAATTTTTAACAATTCAAATCTGCCAATTTCTAAATGATCTGATCTTATTACTACCCAGTCATCCCCAAATAGCAAAGTTGTCACAAAGATATTTATAGTAGTTATTTTTAAGGCATTATGCTACTTTCATACTATGTCATCAATAAATGTTCAAAAGTATGTGTGATTATGGATGTCCTTGTCTTGCCCCTTGATTAATTGTTCTTTGATTATGCAGTGACATTAATTTGAGATTGTATATTCCTAAAGTTTACCATTTGTTCAATAAAATATATCAGACATGGCTAAATTTGTTGAATATGGTAGGAAAAAATTAAATATGGAAATATTATATTGGTGTGGAATTCTTACCAACTTGGAATTGAGTGCTGACTGTGATTTCAGTAAATTATAAGACATGTTGTAGACCAAATCTGACTATTTATCTTAATTACTGGTGCGATTAATGCCCACAGTTACAGTCTCACAAACTTCCCTCATCCCTACTACTTAAACAGCATTTGACTGGTCCACTTTTGAGAATGTGTTTAAACATACATCTTGAAGTGAGTTTTATTTTATCAGTGTATCATCCACATATTCCGAAATGTAAATTTGGCAGACTCTGAGGACAACTAACATTTTAAGTGAGTGCATTAAGATTTTTACTTACCCAGGTGAATGGATCCCGGGAATTTTCCAGACCTGCCCTAGACCATCAGGTTTTTCTTATGGAAATTATAAAAATGTCAAGGCGGGTCCAACTTCCTACAGACCAGCACATAACAAAAACCCAGGCAAACCAAAGCACTGAATATACTCACAAAAGAAACATTCAGGGTACACTTACAAAATACGGAAAGCAAGATAAACAGGAGACCAAGATCTCTCATACATTTTATTTTAATTAACAACTCTCTCTTACCTAGAACAGAATGTATCCATTCACACAATCACACTACATCATTTTTACTGTTCTTGCACCAAATAATCCTAATGGAATTCTTGCAACGTCCTACTGAGAATACTGATTAATAAAAATATCATTACCAAAACTTGGGGAAAAGTGCATGAGACCAAAGTGCTTACGAGGTTTTACTGTTCAGGTACTTAAAAAATGCACTTTCTCATCCTCTTCTGTATGACATACAACATTCTGTCATGTTAAACTGAAAATGGAGTTTAACAGGAAAATAACCACTGTCCACCATACAAATAAAAAGTTATCTAAAAAAACAAACAAAATGTGGTTCATGTACCATCTTTGGAATCACCTTAAAAAGAAACATTCACTTCTTTCTTGAGACTTCACATGGAGATCATAGGCACATCAAACAGATCACAAATGCCTTCACTGTCTCCCAAATTGAAGAAGTAATCTTTCTCACTTGGTGGAGGGCTCAATCTGACCAGTGGACCAAAGACTAAAACAGAAGATGCAATGTACTATTTTCTGCTACAAATCAAATACTCTGGTGGACTATATATATTTTCCTAATGCATGCTCAGCAAGTCTGTGTACCTGAATGGGCATTATGTTCATTTATTGTAAATACAAAAGAACCCTGCTTGGAAACTGCTTACAGCATTGAAAATAACTACTGTACTTACAATGCTGCACCAACTGGACTGTGCACATGTTCTATTGCAACAGTTCAATGTGGGCTACTGTAGGTTAATAAGGTACTAATGCCATGCAGTATACTGTTCATATTAGATCACACAGGAAATTGTGGACTTCCCCTATTCTCCAGCACTACACCATGAAGGTGTGTATGGGGTGTAAAGTACACCTCTACATGTCCTAGACCTCACCACAGACAAAGGCATGTGGTCAGAAGGAACCCTTCTGCAATAGCTGCTGCCTTTCAGTATCCAATCTGCATATATTCCTAATAAGTTTCCAAAGAACAAGTAAAGAGAAATTCACCTCAAAGCTTGTAACGCAATACCACATAAAGACCCACATGCTCATTAACAGTTTTATGGTACCCACCAACATCTGACAAGTACAGTTATGTAATAGTAAAAAAGAGAAAATATCATTGCTTTCATCACTGGAGAAAGTGGTGGTGCTGAAAGAACCAGAGAGATTTAGTTGGAGGTAGCAGGGACTGTTGGAATGAGACTGGAGGTAGCTTAACCAGGGGTAATGTTTGAGATAGCACCAACAGCTGGTGTGCGGCTGGGGAAACCAGGATCAGTGGTAGCCTGGAGAGAGCAAGAACTGGCATGAGTCTGGAGGAATTAGGGGCAGCTACAATAAGACTGGAGGTAACAGGGTCAGGTATGGTAAGATCACAGATAACACAGCCAGGTAATTGAGAATGGAGGAAGTAGGATGGGCTGCGGTAATGCTGGAGCTGGAAGGGCTAACTAGCGTCCAACATCAAAACAGTGATCATATGAAGGATGAATTTATCTAACCAATAACCAGTTTTGGATACAAATAAAGCGATTTTTGGTATCTAACAACAATGTATCAACTACAAATTATGCAGTACTGAACTGAACATGAAAATGTTTCCCAAATGATTGGTAGGGAATAGGAAGTGATCAAAACCCATCAGAAGGAACAACAGCCTGAAATGACCGAGCAGAACAACAAAATCAAAAACTCAATGAGAAAAGACTGGTCTTTCCACGAGATTCAATCCAGGGCCCAAATACACATGCAGACAGAATGCCTGAAAATAACACATATGTTTGTACATGCAACGAAACAAAATTATAATTACCCACTTATTACATAAGAGGTTCTGCTTGCTACAGATAAATAAATCAATAAATTTCTCGAAAACCAATGAAAAAATAAAAAAAATTACAGCACTTTCTCTAGCAAATACCCAGAAATCTCATGCAGTAGGAATATTTTTCATTTATGTTACATAATATCAACAGTGAGTTAGACTTACTTTCTGCTGAAATAAGTTCTTCCATTAATTCTCCATCTACCTCTGCCATTGACACATCTGCAACAAACATGAATTACATATATACAGTAAAAAATTTGAACTGGTTGGTTGGTTGTTTGGTTTCCAATGGCTGCATTTGGGATCGTTAACCCATTTTGCTTCTTGCTTCCCAACAGAGAGCACTCAAGTTCTGGAAGCTTTGCTAAGTGTGTTGCTCATTTTGCACTAGCCAGGGGACACGTATGACTTAAAGAATGTCACGGATCTGAGCAAGTATTTTACATACTGACAATAACAGGGAGTGTTCCATTTCATAAATCATGAAATTACATCAAGTGTAGGGGAACTAAAAATATTTTATGGAAAACTGGGCATATGCTGGCTGTTTTAATGAAAGATAATGAAAAAAGCAGACAGGCCATTTACCTTTCAATAACAAAAATGAGACTGACATTCTAGCATAAACTAAGGTTCATACCTCAAAAAGGTTATAAACAAATGGAATAAGACAGTTTCAGTGAATATGACGATGACTTTGTAAGTACTGCAGAATCATTTGTTTCTAACAGTCATCAAGGTGACATTACAAATAAATAATGCATAAAATGTCATCAGTGCAAATGGCTGGAAATGGATGAGACCGACAAAATGAGGAACTCAAAACGTTATGTGCTACATGTAATTGGGAGCACTGAGATTGAGATCAGCTTGACAACTACAAGTTCCACTTTAAAAAAGGAGGCACTGCATGAAACAAACAGTGAAAAATCACATGCAGCAGGTGAAAACAAACAGAACGTTACCATTCCTATTCCTACCATCAACAGAGAAAAGGTTCATTTTGGAATGTTCATGCTGTAATTTAAAGTAAAAAATGATGGTTATGTGTATAAATTGGGAACTAAAGGTGTCTTAACAAACTGGTACTCAAGATCTCAGCCTGATCCTTCCAAACAATTTTTTCTGCCATGAAATGTGGCCAAGGAAAAGGAAGTATGTTTAAGGAATGCTGCAACACTGTCCAGTGATGATTCCAGCCAAACATGGGTAGATGTCACTGTACAAAACAAAATCCTGTGTTATTTGAAATGTCACAATAACAACTCATGTAATGAAAAAAAGAGGAAAGGGAAAAAGAAAAGGAGCACAAAAAAATATGAACAAGAATTAACTTGAAACTTTCATTGCAGTTCACTTCTATCTTTTGATATTCTGTATTTTCCTTCACATTACATGCAATTTGCTTCCTTTCACTCTCTTTAGTAACGTCTTTTATAATATCAATCTCTGTTTATTTTCAAGATGATTTTGAAATGCACGTTTTTTTTGGCTGAAATTTGGGAAAAATTTAAATGAAAATGTTATCGTTCTGATTCATAATAATTTTGTTGAATATCCTGTACCAGTAGGCTTAATAAAATACTTAAAACAAATATGGGGCATTTCTCCACAAAGCCAAGAAGCAGTGTGAAGTACTTCTAAGAGAAAGATCATGACTGCTAGGACTGCCAATTTCAATTTGGGTTTGTACCAACAGCAGCAGTAATTTATAGATCTTACTATGGAATACTAGTTTGGTCTACTGTCCTTATAGATTTGTAGCTATTGTTAGTAAGAGCTGGTATAGTTTAAACGTCTTGTGGAAGAGAAGTCCTGTTTTCAATACCATCTCTGGTAAGATGATTTTGTGCTCGTCATAAATTGTAAATAGAATCTAGTACCTTTTTAATGATGTAATGATTTGTCACTATTCGATGATGATGCATCCTCAAAAATACTTTTGACAAAGTAAAATGACACATTCTATTGTTTTACTGTAATGTAACTTGTATATAATGGAAACTGTAATTTCAGAATTTGGTGTGACAGGTTTACAAAGGTATGAAAAAATGGCATAATGCATGTTGGTTTGGGTTTTCTTATAGAAACGAAAATAGTGACTTTTTTTATTAGTATGAATATAATATTTTAAACTACTGAAAAACCAATGCAGAAACTTTGATTTCTTAGTATAAGTAAAAGGAATAGCTTGATTTAGAGCATCAGCAACCATTCAGGTTAGTTGGCTCCATCTTTCACAAGTTTAACAAGAACACTGGAAGAGTACACCTGATCAGGCATAAGCTTCCCATAAAATGAGCCAATGAGACAACCAGTATGTGAAACACCAGTGTTGTTAATGAGAAGGAACTCCTCTTCCATAACCAACATGATAGTCATCATCATTTAGCTCCCACTGAAGCATAGGGCATTAACAGTGTCACCATCTCACATGGTTCTTGCTGAGTTGTTTAATTCCTCCCCATGTCTTCCTCTCATAATGTTCTCTGCCAACTCCTTTTTGGCCTCTCTCTTTTCCATTGTCCTTGTGGGTTCCACTTCAAAGCCTCATTCTTGATTACATTTTCCTTTCAAAGAGTATGGTCAATCCAGTTCCATTTACAGCTGGTTATCCTTTCACTTATTCTTATTTCATTTTTCTGTTCCCATAGTTCATCATAACCAACACGATGCACATGTGTTAAATTTTGTTTTAAGTCTGGTGCAGACCAACTTTTTTGAGCTTAATGGCTAATAACTACATTAAAATGGCTATTTAATAACCTACCTGTACTTCCTGCAGAGACAATATCACTGAGGATTACATCCGGCTCTAATAACACAGGGCTGCTTTCTTGTTCTGCTTCAGGATCAATTCGTGGCTGTTTGGGTGGTCGCCCTGGACCTCGTCGTCGCTTCAGGCTTGAACTACTTGAAGGGCTCTGTGGGCGTGTTGTTCCAGTCTAAAAATGTTATTGGTTATTTTGTAGTAAATGATTAAAACATGCAGTTTACTGAGTGCATCTTCTATTATACTACAGGTACTGTTCATTTCCTGCATTCCCAGTGTTGTTTCAGGCATTTTACTAAGGCTATAAATAAATTATAACTTCCAATTAATCAATCATTCAACATTAATCAGTAAATCAAACAGACAATAGAAACATACTTTTCTACAGGAAATACAGACTAATTCATCTGTGAACAAATAGTAAATATTTAATGTGATGTCTGATCCCGGAAAAGCTAGGAAAAATGTATAACAGACAGGGGTCAAGACAGTGCCCTGTGTCAAGACAAGTCTAAGTTAAAAACTGAGCTTCACTGAATGCATTTCTGTGGTGTGAATTATGAAGTCCATTTTTTTTACTGGCACTGTATTGCAATACTTTTCATAAATGCTAGATATTAAAAATGGTCTTGGTGCAAGGGTCTTTTAATGTCCATCCATTTTTGTAAACTAACTGAGTACAATAAATTTTGCAGTTTACTTAATCCACCTGCCTCCACTTACATCTGGACTTAAATGGCAAGAACCTGCTGTTGCAGTACAATTATATAAAAGATATTTCTGTACATCACTGTTAATGTAAGAAAAGTAAAGCTAACCCTCTAACAGGCCGTGGTGGCCCATAGGATTGTGACACATCAAGATTCCCACATTTTCTAGACAATCGGCTCAAAGATTGCGGTGAGGCTGTCAGCCTTACGCGCCGGCTGCTCTTTACCCCCCAGGATGTTTCTTGGTACTCATTTCTGTTAGAGGCTGAGTCAAACCCAGGGCCATAATGTGGCTGGAAGGATTAGGTCAATTGAAAATCCAATGACCTCATCAGGAATCAAACCCACAACCTTCTGGTCTGTAGCATAGCGCCTCAACCAACTATGCTACAACATGCCCCTCACTCTTAAGTATACAGCATTAAAACATATATTCTTTGGTCAAAAAGGACTATAGAGGAGCTTAAGGTTACTAGCTGCTGATGAAAATATGAGTCCAGCATATTTAAGTGTGAATTGAGATGTGGTGTTGCTATTTCAAGACAGTAGCTGACTACATCTCAGAAATGATGTTAGCATCAACACGCTAAAAGCTTAACAGAGGAAGGTCATGCATTTTACCCCATTAACTCACCAAGAAAATAATCATCATTTAAGGAATCAAATAAATGGTCTACTTAAGCAGCTAATCATGACAATCCTCATGTTCATCACACTTTAACATAAATATTTAAAATGTACTTCATTATGTCCAAACACACTTGCTGCACAGTTCAATTTGTGTCACACTGTAAACTGCTGATCCAAACACCGCCACTAAAAATTCCTCCTCTTAAACAAGAAAATATCTACTCACTTGAGGCACAGTTGTTTGTCGTGTTGGTATCCGTGGTGATAATGGGCCAGGTTTCTGCGGTGAGTTGTTCCGTGACCTAGTGGAACGAGTGGCAGGTGGACTAGGGGCTGCAACAGCCGGCAGCTTTTCAGTGCCTTCCAACTCTACATCCACTTCTTGAGTGTCCTCCTGAAGCAAACAAAAACATTCCTTCATGATTCACTTGCATGAACCTTTTCAGTGCTATTAACAAATGTAAAGGCATGTGGTCTGATTAATTAGTTTCTGGACTGACTGAAATAAGACACTACTAATTTCCTAGATGGAGGTAGAGTAGAATGTGGTGGTGAGTCATTTGTCACCGACTTCAAAGTTGTAGCTTGTGTCACTCAAAAGTAAGACACTGTGAAGGTCGCATGTTGGAACCAAACAACTGATTGGTTTTCCAAGTTCAAAAATAGAATGGGGTCAGTTAACACTGCTGATCACTGAGGACATCCATTTACAGGCAACAGATATGAATGTGCAAAAGACTGCCGCAAATTTCATCAATCTGCTGACGATAAAGGGCGGAATCATATCAATGTGCGCCAATAAAATCTTCAGAAAGACCAGCAATTCCCAGTGTGATTTCTCGTTTTGCCAGAACTAAAGCTGGCACTTAAAGGGAGGCCACCTGGTGACATAATTCAAGAACAACTGCAGACTTCACTTGCAGAATTTAAAACTCAAGACTTCCCCAGATAGCACCATTACTGGACTCACTGCACATCACATGGGAAGTTCTTCAAAAAGAATATAACCTGACACACCACATGCTTACACACCATGCCATGAAGGCTTCTTGGGATAGCAAACATGCAGCTCCACACACTCATGAGTGACTGGTTGGCTTCAAACCCTAAGTCATCAATTCACAAGTGCAGCGCACTTGGCCAGCAGCTATTTCATGACTAATATATTGTTTGGTTTAAAAAACATTTTTCAATCTTAAGATCAACTTTCTTTGTAAATTCTGTAAACTCATTATTTTATATGGATGTTTTGGTCTGTGTTATATGGCTGCAATACCTCGCGTTAATTTCTTGACAATAAGTACCACAATGAAATAAAAGATGAAAATCTTCATGTACCTCCTTGGTTAGCTGCAAAAGACCATCTGGTAACCATATTTCCATTTAATAAGCTGTGATGTATGAAGGTAAGTGAATTTTCCTCACATTGATTCTAATTCATAAATTAATAACAATCTTCTTTGCAGGATTTGTTGCACACATAAGAAGCTCGGGCCACAAAACACATTTCTCATAATGTGGCATCAGGAAATTTTTACTTGCAGAACCACTGCTTTAAGCCGTTTTACTCCTGTCTAAAGAGTTCTCAGCCCCCTCAAATATATATGTACTGTAGACCCCAGAGCTTGATTGAACAAGAAGGCATGAAGAAAAGTACTGCTCTTGCCAGGAACTAAATCCATTTGTTCAGGACAGGTTTCATCTAGTGTGGAGACTTGTTGGTGCTATTAAAATTGTTTTACCATATAACATACATCTATATTTAATAAAGACAAGAAACTGACCACAGACTGTATGCATGCAATAAGACTGAACACATTAAGTACCTTGGCACTGGACTCTAAAACAGCCTTTGGGGGTGGAACTTCTATTGCCACAGGGCTGGTGCAATCAATGTCCTTGTTCACTAACAGTACATATATTGGACCAACTGAAGACTTGAGGTGCATCTGATAATTCTTTTTGCTACTGCCATTCTGAAAAGAAATGGAATACCATGGCACACTTTTCTACATATATGATATACAAAATTAGCAGTGGCTTCAAATACCTACTTTCATTTCACTTATTTTATAATAGCAGCAGTTACACAGGATCAACTAAAACACTACAGGAAGTGAACAATAAATCAGGAGGGATGTGGAATCAAACAGTCATGGCCCTGTTCAGGGGCGGCCCGCGTATAGGCACTGCGGAACTGCAGCACCCCCAATTTCCAGATGATATTATCGATAACATTTATATAATGAGTCCTTTTTTCTTTAATTTTTTCTTTATACTTGTACAATACAATGTATAATCCTTAAGCTTAATGTCAGTAGCCAAATCTTTGTATGGAACTGTGCGCTTCTGGAGCAGCACCCCAAACTAATTTTAGCTACAAGCCACCACTGGCCCTGTTTGAATTCGCAACTTACATGGTAAAAGTTTGTAGGTGACAGATGTTAAGAATTCAAAGTAACAAAAAAATTGGGAATATCATGTAGCTTTCTCTGGACACAGATTCAAACATACCTGCTCAACTAATGGCACCTCCAATTCTGTTCCACTAGGAGCCTGGATTGCAAGCATTGTGTCTTCTTGAAAACACTTACAGATGTCTTCATGTGTTACATATGCAAGGTGACAGTTTTCAACATCATCTGTAATGTTACGAATACTCTGCTGCATCCACTACAAGAAAAACACAAGCCATCAAAACGCACTCTCCGCAGCTAACACTTTAAACTGATCATTCAGTAAAATGACTGCCTCTGGGCTGAATAACCAAAGTCTGATTCTTAGAAGGGTCTTATGACTGGCTCTGGTGCACACCTCAATTCTCTTATGCTATCAGGGACCCTTTTCTGGTGGTAAAGCATCTGTGCATGAAGCATTCTTCATATGTTGCCCAGATCCAGACTGACTACAGCTTCAATGACTGTCATCATACTGGGGTGCTACACACTGACTCTTAGGTTATTTAGTGACACTATATACATACCTTCAAATCACATGGGAAGATAATAAAAAATAGTAAATAAGCAATGGTCTGGGAAGAAGTGGTTGTAGCCTTTGCCAGGAAAAATTCAAATGGGATATCTCACAATTGCATATCTACAGTCTTCCCGCTATGCCAACATGCTCTAATACTTGGGCACAGAGGCTACTTCACCATGTTACCTTCACAGTAAAGATAGTAAAAAGAGGAAAAATATAAGATTGAAGAGATATGTACTTAGTTAAGTACTGCACCATTAATACTGTCACATGTAGGAATGACTATAGATGCAGTTTGGATTGGATATTAGATTTACTGACCATTTATACATATGACTCGCAAGTACAAGTTATTACAGTGCCACTGCTAATCTCCACAATTCACAAATCACCACAGCACCCGCTAAGACTTTTCTAGCCTGCTGTGTCTTCACTAGCTGATACCTAGCAATGGCTTCTAACAGTGGAAATTCTTCAGCTTCACATGCTCATGTCCTCTCTTCACAGACTGCAGTACAGAACTGACTAAGCTCTAACATTGTTCCTTGTTTATAACATCTTGGCATGGACTACATAGAAAACACAACTCTTCTACTGTTGCGTCTGGATTTGTTTGCCGCAGAGCTGTGTTCACTGTACCGTTGTGTAGCAGCGGCTGCTGACACAGACCACAGAACACTGTTCCTCTTTTGCTGTACGATCACTGTGTCCATGTCTCTAGCTGCGGAAATGTGTTTACCAAGCCATTGCCCAAAAATGACCCACATCACAGTCGTTGCATTGCAATAGCTCTCCATGCTAAAATACATACCCCTATGCTTAATAAGCACCATGCCACGGAAGTGTACAGGGAAGTGGACATGTACCTCCATCCATTTTCTAACTTTTAGCCTCAAAACTAGATGAAGGTGAGTGATCAGCTTCATGCCTTGATAGCTTTCTTCCCTGTGAAAGAGGTCTCAATATCTACTGGACAGGAAGTGGATCAGCTGCAGGAATCAGTGTGGACATGACAGCAATGAGAAAATTCAGACCCAACTCAAAGTCAAACTCCTGCTATCCAGCCTGTAACCTAGTCACTACTAGAGACTAAGGTATCCCAACATGATCTATGTAACAGACCTGCTTATGCATATCCAGCTTTTGTTCGTGCTCATCCAACTTTGAGATTTCCTTCTTAAGTACTGCCAAACGGTCTGCCATCTCTTGAGTGTTGCATCCTGGCCCAGCACCCCTTCAACACACACACACATACATACAATATCAATACACGAAAAACTCGGCAACTGCATATGCTTAAAAAAATCTGGCAGAAAGGCTGAATATTTTATTTTGAACATTCTTTGAACAACAAGGATTAAGCTGAAAATAAGAGTCACAGCACAATGAAAACCAAACTTAGCAAGTCTCATGGTTTATTTCAACATTTCTTCTGAACTCTAATGCTTATAAAACATAGTATTAATAATGAATTAAGAACATACTACTTATGATGGTGCAGTGATACATTATTACATGACCACATGAGGTACTGTGCTATAGTACACCTGCACTGAGCACTGATTTTCTGTAATTCAACAGAACTTCATTACTGATAATTGCAAAACGATTATACAAACTTATATTTCATAAGAACTGCTAGAAGTGACCCCTCCTGCTTCACAGTACATAAATGCAGCCTAAGATTCTGAAGTGAATAGTTTATTGCACACTTAAAGCACACCACAACCCTAAGTAACTTCATGGAGCTGAACCCTTCTTGAGAAGCTGCCAGTTGTGCAGTAACTCAAGAACTTCTCAACGTTTTATGGCTGGGTTAGACATCATACCCATAAACTGTTAAGAAGTGTGACACAAAATACTGGAGTCTATCTTCGCAGCCACAAGACTAATCAAATTTTGCATGTGAAAAATAAGATATGTGAACTTATGCAACCAGGTTACATAACTAGAGTTCACTTAGGGAACTGACTGATGTAAAATGTACAAGATCAAGTCAAAGATGCACACTGCTTTTCATAACCAATGAAGTATTACTTTACTGGTCATGCAATACACAAAATGCAATATGAAAGAAGAAAATCCTAACGTCATTCAACAAGTCCCATAATAATGTGGCAAATTATAAATTTTAGTACTTCAGAATATGTCAAAAAACTCAAGTTACATGCTTCAAGGCAGACTGAAGTCAATTCTAGCAGTTCTTACAGAAAGTTTCTGTCACATTTTTATAGTAACCAGTAATTAAGTTGTGTTGATGTACTGAGAGAATCACTGCCCAACATAGTGGAAATCTCTGCACTATCTGCTGTTCAGTCATGCAATCAATTACTTCCACACTATCACAAGCAGTATGTTTTCATCTCAATAAAATGCCTTGCATTTTATTTTCCTGGATAGTCTCTTTCCAAAAACAGAAGATCGCATCAAGTGGAGGAACTGTTTTGGAAGAGACTGTGGACCTGTCGTCTGATAGATTACCGATGAATGAATGAATGAAAATGCCTTGTACCTGTTCACCTAGTCAGGAACCCACAGGCTCATTACCATGTCACAAGAGCTCAGAAGAAGTACAAAATGTGTCAAAAGTTCAAACGTTTGGGAACCCCAACAAAAGATCAAAATTACACTCAGAAGAAGTTAACTGCTGATTAAATTTGGAAAATAGTCACTACAATTTAGTTCAGAATATTTGATCCTCCAGTTTCGTATCCAAAAAACTGAAAATTAAAATCTGACTCCATAAAGCAGAGCCCTTGAAAAGCTAGTAGTTGCTCAGCTAGTCTGGAACTTTCCATCATTTTATGGACCTTGAAGGTTCATTACTGTGCTCAAGAGAGTCTGCCACTAGTCTGTATGTAAATGAATCCAGTCTACACTTTCCCATCCTATTTCTTTAGGATATATTTTAACATTATTTTCCCACCTACACCTGGCTATTCTAAGTGGTCTCTCTCCTTCATGTTTCCCTTCTAAAATTTTGTATGCATGTCTCTTCTCTCCCCTTTGTTAAGTTCCAAAAAAGATTAAGATCAACAAAACTATAAACTTACCTGTTGCTTTTGATGAGTGGGGAACATACTTGAGAACAAAATGCTAGAATGAATATTTGAACGCAAGAAAGGCAGTAATAAAAGGCTGAAATTACATCATGATGGGCTTCCGTACCCTTCACCCATATTATTTGGATGACCAAACTGAAGGAAATGAGAAATGCATACGATATTTCAGCTGAAAAAGCTGAATACAGACCATGACATAAATTAATATTATGAAAAACTCTGGTGGGAGAGACAGAAATGCATACCAAATTTGAGTTCAAAAATTTGGAGATCAAAGCATAAATGGATGTTAAAAAACTGAGTGTGGGTATTACAATTCAACTGATTCAGGACAGTATCAAATAGCAAGCTCCCTTCAAATTTCAAGTTCCATAAATGGAAGGGAATTTCTTGACCATCTGAATGACTGCCAGCTTCTCAAAAATAGTCTCACAAGGCAACAATCAGTTTTTCAAAATAAAGGCTGCTCATTAAACAAGTCTTTAAAAGTGGTTATGCTGCTTATATGATATGTACATACTTCCATTGTATACTATTTTTGCTTTTCTTCTCGATGAGACCAATGCCTTCCAAAACATTGGTAATGTCATATATTCTCCTTTTCTGCCTCACAGCTAGTATATCGGCCGCCTTAAACAGAAATTAAGAAGAACACAGGCCAAAAACAATATGACTGTTCATCTGTACCAGTATTCAAAGAACACACTTATGATGCTGCATCCTTGCACTAGTACAACCTGTTTGTGTTTATTTACTAACTAATTTTAATAGAAACAACATATATCTATATGATAAAATCTTACACCACTATGTGTTTCAACCTTCAATCGATCATCATCAGGTGGATCAAACAGATTTCAGATCCACAGTACTTACTGAATCTGCATAGCATTAATTTTCTATAACGTAAAAATTATTCTAGGTGGATCAACCATGTGAACCACAGGGACTGATTTCTTCACAGAAATAAAAAAAAAAATTAAAGTAAAAGTTAAACAGATTCAAGTAAAATTAAAATTAATTAAATGCATCTTTCATTACTGTTTTCCACACATACAAATACAATAGACTCTACATTATAATTCGTTCATCCCCATGCTGTTGAACATTATGTAGTAAGTCATATTCCTATAAAAGCACTGTGATAGAGCACTTGCTTTATATAAATTATCACATCAAGTAGGGTGTTGCACTCTTTAAAGGACTGGACGTTCATCTTGCTAAATTAATGGTGATCTTTATTTTAATACATGTCAATGATCGCAAAACTATTTGTTGATACTGTTTTAATCATGATCCTCTATGTTGGTTTGGAACAATATGTTATGATGTCTGAAATAAAGGCGATCACACAGCATAACACCTTTTCTGCTTGGCCTACTGTTCGATCCTGAAGATGGAGGCAGTATGTTTTTTCCTTATCTATAAACCTCTACCAGACTACAAGACATCAAATCCCTGAAGGCGGTACTCTTAAAAATCTATATACTTTACAAGGTGGATTCAACTTGAAAAGCATTAACATTGTAGAGAACTGGTTATTTTAATGCTACCCAGATTCAATGGATATTGCAGATATGAAATGTACTTAACCTAACTGAAAATCGAAACATGTGCTCGTATAATATTACCTCAGCGATATAAATTATGTGACGGTTACTAAACTTTGATAGTTTCAATACTGCTAGATACAAAGCATCTCCTTTTTATACACACAAAATATTTACTTACTACTTTCAAATCCAGTACACCATCTCGTGCTTTTTGCAACAGGGAAACAAAACGTGTTGTTAATAACCCCAAAGACTTTTCAAACCTACTTTGTTGATTGTCAGCCATCTTCAAAAACCGTTGTCAGATTTTAAATGTCCGGCGAACGAACAATCGCTACACAGGAACGACTACGACCGATTATTTATTTCGTTTCGTAGAACTGTTCGACAAGACGGCAGCGATTACCCAACACGATACGTCGTAAGAGACTTTTACCCAGTTTAAAATTAGCACATACGTTGAAAGTACGAAGGGAAATATTTTGTTTGCCAACTATAATTAACGTAACACTCCCGAATTCCCGAACGCTCCCGAACTTGTAAACGTGCTATCAAAATGTTAACGCAAGTGAACGTCAGCAATTACAGTCCTAACTGGTCCTAACCGTCCTAACAAAGGCAGCCGAATTTCATGCACTGCCGCCAACGTGAATTCCTGGATCAAACGATACGTAAATACATTCGGTTTAGGACAATATTATATTCAAGCATCGTGTTGTCCCAATATATCAGTTATTTCATACAATATATATTTCCGTCACATAATACAAGAAAATGTTATAAGTCACTTTAATTCTTTATTCATCATAAGCAGAATTCCACTCCAAAAATCCAGGAACGTTATTTCTGTTGTATCCCACAAATGGCTGATTGTACTAGGAATTTTCATCAAGTGCACTGTTTCTAAATAAGTTTGTGAATATTTTTCCAGAGAAAATGCAATAAAAGATCACCTTGAGCATTATGAAACTATTGTCATTCATACAAAGTTGTTAACTCAATTGTAAATGTCTTTTCTTTACAGGAATGTCAAGTTTAAGCTGCATTCTGTAATTCTGTTCCTGAAATTTTTCTGCAAGTCTCTGTAATTTTCAGCATAGACAAATTTAAATCTACCAGATGATTCTAATAAGAAACATATTCCTTGGTATGGACTGTAATAACATCACACAATATTTGGAAATAGCAGTTATTCTAATTTCAGACAGCATAATTTGCAGGCTTTAGCTGCCTCTGAGTCATCTTTTCATATAGAAGATGCTGACATTCAATTGCAGTTTTGATTGAGTTTTTTTGCAATCTCTATTATATCTGCACAGGGCTTCTGCCTTTGATCGTTTAGTGCAGCAACATGTAGTTTTATTTTATAAAAATGACACAATTGTTTTGTTTGTTTGACATGAGAACACAAAATTACAGGATCCCTAATGGCTTAGCAAGACTGATGCCTCATGCAAAGTAAGCTGTTGTATTCTGCACATGCTGGAGCACGCAGTAGCATAGTTGGTTGAGGCACTATCCTACAAGACAGAAGTTCACGTGTTCAAATTCTGATGAGGTCATTAGATTTTTCAATTGACCTAGACCTTCCACCTGCACTATGGCCATGGGTTTCACAGCTTCTAACAGAAATGACCACCAGGGATCTTCCTGGGGGATAAAGGGTAGCCAGCAAGCAAGGCTGGAAACCTTACCATCATCTGTGAGCCATTTGTCCAAGAAATGTGGGAGCCTCGATGTCTCACAACACCTTGGGGCCTTCAGGGCCTGTTACAAGTAGAGCTTAACTTTTTTCTTGCCTTTTATACTGCACATGTTAATATTGTACATACTCAGCTAACTCTTCTCTGTCCTCTTAATCCATACAGAGAAGCCTCTGTTCAGAGGCCAATCCAACCTGATATCAAACAATACCAGCGGCTTTCACCGGAGGTAAAGCAGTCTGAGGGTGAAGTTGATCACTCATGTCCATCTACTGCCAAGGTCAAGAATACATGGATCTATACATCCACTCCAACTCCATAAGTCTTCATGGTATAGTGCCAGGGACAACTTTAAATTTTTTAATATTGTGTTACTGGATATCCTTATTTAATAATTAAAACAAATGGTGAAAAATAATTGTTTATTAATGTACACAGAAGAAAATGTATGAGACACCAGTTTTTTAAACAATTTATGCACACATATTTATGGTGATCACCACATGCACATTTCTGGCACTTAAAACACCATCCCCTTGTCATTCTATTGTAGCTTCACCCACATTCGAAACAATGACCTCTGGATCCATGCCGAGTTGGGGGCACGGCTCATCGGGTCCTGTAACACTTTGACGTGCCTTAAGGAGTTCTGAAGGAATTTGTGGAATTGTACATCTTTGTTGCATCTCCTGCTTTACCATTTAACATATTGCTTTTGCGAAGTCAGTCTCTTGACACCCTGGCCATTTTGCTCATTGCCCTTGCAAATGCGATGAGCATTGATTGCAGTTATATAAAATAAAAAATAACCATAGGTCAACATCTAATATTCTGTGTTACATACATGCAACGACACCATCAGCCTTACCCTTCTTCTGAGATATGAAAATGACAAAACCTGGAATAGAACTTCAAAAATAAATGTATTGTTAGTTTATAAAAATATTGCCAAGCCTGTAGCATTCCATAGGTTCTTACTAGAATTAATAGTCACTTTGCTGATCACGTAAGTTCCGATTCACTAGGAAGCCAAGACACCCATTTCAAACGCATGTGATTGGTCTCCATTTTGAGGGAACCGAATTCAGCTGACATTTTCATACTTTCATTTTGCAAGATACATTTTCTATTATTCTTACAACTATGCCTAGATCTCCAAAGTAGTCTCCTCATTTAAGCTTCCTGACAAAAATGTTGTATCCTTTCTTCACTTTCCCCACTCTGCAACATTCCATCAAATTCGCCATAAGCATAATCACGGTACAGGTACAATAGGACATATGGAGGCCAACGTACCGAGGGGACCTAATATGGATTCCACCTCACACAATACGAACTCTTTAACTATTGTAATCCACTGTAATCTATTGTAAACAATTGTAAGTATTGTAACTTTACTCTCTTATTGTAATCTGCCAATGTACAGTAACTGACTTGTCCTATATCATGTAACAATGATCTATAGAGACAAAATAAATAAATAAATATCTCACCCAGCTTGTCCTTCACTGAAACACCTAAACAACAATATAGTTAGACTGTATGGTATTAAAACCTGTGGATGTTATGGTTGTGACATGATCCAACTTTTTCATACCAGTGTGGATATTGCACCCCCCACCCATAACATATGAACACACACACACACGCAATAATACCATAATGTCCCCTTTCCTTACAAACTAAGGCTAAGAATTGAACAGGATAAGATAAATCCAATTATGAATGTTGGTTGTTAAATTCTTTATTCAAAATGTACCATGTATTTGATTACAAAACTTACCAAAATAACTATATTGACAAATTCAAATGCAATATAATATTATTATTATTATTATTATTATTATTATTATTATTATTATTATACTCATTATCATTATTACTACTATTACTATTATTCTACAATGCTTCATTTTGCTTTACGTTTAAACCTATTTAACATACTACATTAGTACAGGTCATAAGAAAATAATATATTTAAGCTCCATCTAAAATATTAGAAGAACTTATATCTTATCTTAAAATTAAGTTTATCGTGACTGTATTCCGTTTCAGTGAATAATATTAATGCCATAAAATGCAACTACGAAGAAGTACATTATCAAGTTTTATTATTGTAATGTTTTATTACCTTGTCCTCAATGGTTTGACTTCCTCATAAGCCATCCTCTGGGGCACTGTTTAATTCATACCGAACACTACTGATTATATACTTATTTTTAATAAACTTATCTAACTTATTCCTTAAGAACTGTGGTCCTGAAGTGATAACTAATTATGTCATATTTCATGTCCGTTTCTCTATCATGGACATAATTATCATTTAATTATCAGATGAAACCAATATCCAGTACACAATTAAAATTTCTGCTATTAAAATCTCTTTACAAGCCTAGTAACTAACCAAAACAATGTACACACAGTTAGAGATAATACACATTACAGGAACATACATACCAGACCCAAAGGAATCTGTCATAAACCATTCTAATGACAAGAATAATCTCCTAATTAACTAACTGAACATTTCATAGCATATTGAAGAAAACATTTAACAGCCAGAATGTAATCCAGTAAATTACAGTGAACTACAGTGGAACTTTGGTAATCTGAACCCATGTTAATGCAAACTGAATTACAGAGAAAAACATCACCTCCAAAAATTACAATTTGTTCTAATTATTTTACTTCCTTTAAGTAAAAATGAATTTTTGTGAAACACAGTATGTGCTAATGAACCTGTCTCTCTACGTGATAAAAAATGTAACCAAGTTATATGATTGGTGACATTTACATAGTATAATATTTTACTAATGTTTGGTTGTTCATGGATAATATATGCCTATATATCTTCTGAATAAAATAAGTTTATTAAACAATTTGAATATTTTATTTGAAGTTCAGTTATCTGAATGACTTGATAGTTTGAACACACCAGTGCTCTAGTTAGTGCAGAATACTGAGGTTGCACTATTTTTAAATCATAGGTATAAATTTCTTTTTTCTTTAATTTCAGAAAGCTTATGCAAAAATTAATGTTAGAAATTCTGTCCATGGAATGGGCGGTGACATCAGAGCATAACTAAATGATAATTATGACTATGACAGAAAAATGTACATGTGATTCTAAACGTGAAACAAAATTTAATAGCTCGTTTCTTAATGGTTACAATTCTTCATGAAGAAGTTATAAATAATTTTATTAACAAAGAAGGTTGTAATCAACAGCTTTTTTCACAGAATAAGTAATTAAATTGTAGATGGTTTTTAGGATGTTGAAAAGTGTAGGGGAAGATAATAAGAGAGTGTATTAAAACTTGACAATGTAGTCAATATTTGCATTCTATGGTCTTAATACTATTCACTGAACTTATACCTAGGCACAGTTTCAAACATACCTTTCATTACTGTGAGAGGCAAGAGAGGTAACACACAGAGATTTTTTTTTAATATGACTTACTGTTAAGTGCTACACAGTTGATTATCTTATATAGTATGGCAGGGTTAAAACAGCGAAGGAGACCTATATAACGCCTCAATATACAGAACACTGTAGTGTTTATGGGAGGTTACAATAAGGCCTATGTTTGCTGGAACTTGCATTATTTGAATTAGATGCAGGTATTGTACAACTGCATACTAATATACATTTTTGCAAAACAATTAGAGAGGAAGTTGAATATTAAATGCAGCTCATTCGTAGAATGATCCGATGTGATCTTTATAATTCTAAGCAACATTTGTGATAAGTAACTTTATTCGTACATCCACTTTTATTTAGAACTTAATATTTTCTCTGAGTAAATGTAATTGAAGACAGTTAGCCAATATCATAGAGACAGTTTCCTGTAACTTCTTTTACACAAAACAATAACATATTGAGAAATATTGTAATAGTCTTTTTATGTTTGTTCCTGTGTCAGTCACCATTTATGAAGCAGCAAAGATGGTACATTAGAGCAGATGAACCTAGTTTCAAATTTATTAATGACTTCTCATAGTATGTAATGATTAAAAAGGATATACGAGCTTGATTAGGTTTCCTTTCTGTGCAAATATTAGTTATTATGTTTGGTTAATTTAAATATGATATATAGGCTATTTTTAAGAATTCTATATTGATCCTTTATATACACAAAAACTAAACACTAAAAAATCCAAAATTGGAAGCCTGAAAGCAAGGCAGATATTCCACTTACTTAATTTTGAATGTATAAAATAATTATGACTACCAAAAGTGAAGCATAAAATATGTCATTTCTTCTGGAAAATTCTGACATGATCACATTCTTTCAATCCAGATGTAACTGATTTATGAATTGTTAAGTAAATGACTAATCAACTATTCTGTCATTAAAATGTTCTCACGGTTTCAAAGCGAGGAACTGCATTCAACTGTCATCTTCAATTTTGTGGGGCATAATTAAAGCCTACACTGTCTCTTGAAATGCTGGAGCATGTCATAAAATTCTTTTAAATAATTATTCACCTGAACAACATACTGAATGTCTGATGTTTCCACACAAATTTCTGGTACTGTAATACTGAATGTAATCAGTATTTTAATTTCCAATCACAGCAACAAAAACTAGTTCTATAATATCTGAGGCTGTCATGGAGAACCTTATGCGGTGAAGTGTACTGGGATGTAACGGTTTATACCGTTGGAGGAGGTATCTGGCATTCTGCAGTAACATAGTACATCCATCTTCAGCCATGTCCTTGTGTCACACAATAGGGAGAGTGGAAGTAAAGCTCCGTGTACATTTAACCTCGGTCCTCAATGAAGATGAGAAATCACCTTCACACTTGGACATTTATACCCTGGGGATGCAACTTGTAGCACTCACTGGATAGGAGGCAGTTGGTCCTTGTGAAATGTTGGAAACCACCTAAAATCTAGGGGGCACTACATGGTAAATAGTTCTGTGTTTCACTGCTTTATTTTGCAAGTCATCACACCAGCATCAGTTTTTTTATAATTAATTCATACACAAAAAATTATTTATATAATAATTATGCAACCATCATCCTTCATTCAGTTACATATTAATTTGAAGAGTACTTCAGTGGTAAGAGTGAAGTTTGTAATCGTAGTCTCTGCTTCTTAATGATACATCATTCTTTCCTATATACTATACATTTACTGACATATTTTATATATATGTACATATTTCTCACATTTTGACATGTTTCAACAGTGTTTGGCACACACTTGTTGCTAAAGCTAACAAGTAAAAAACTAGGTTAGTGTGATCTTCCTTTGTCAGGAATCAAACTGTGAAATTATTCCTATAATTCTATGGGATTGGCAACGACAAAACGCTATTCCTAGGTGGTAAATGAATATGCAAATGCTGAAGAATTTTTTTGGATGATAAAATTATGGAATTTAATATATAAATGACCTTGTTTTAGAAGTTAATATGAAATGAGATTTTCCCATGATAAATATTTGAGTCATGAGTATTTGGCCATATATTTATGACATACTAATACAAACTGTTATGTACAAACATTTTTGAAATTTGATGGCAAATTCTTAGACAGGTGTCTGATGTTATGTCCAGGGTACAAGTAATGGATATTGCACCATTTCAAATTGAAAACAAACAATTTGATCCACAATAATTGCAAGATAATTCAATGATTGCCTTTTTAAGATTGCTGGCTGCAAATAACATGACTAAGAGCCAAGATCTGTAATGTTTCTGTTGATACTGTCAATAGACACGCAAAGGTCATATGAAATGTCACAAGCGTTATAAAAATGAAACTTACTTGCAGAGAACTAACTGAATCCCAGCTGACTTCAAAGGCATAAATGTGAGTCAGTTCTGTTAATTGTATAATATTAGCTTACCTGATATACATACTATTAACCAGGTCAGGTGAATTCAGAAAGAAAAAAAGAAGGAAATCATTCTAGATAATGATGAGTTAGATATGTTGCTTTTCCAATTAGTGTCTAGGAATAGTACGATGAAACAGCCAACTGATCTCATTTCCTAGGTGCCCTTACTTCTATGACCACACCTCCCCCACCATTGGTCATTGAATATGGGATCGCTTTCTGGGTTGAATCTCCACCCCGCAACCTGCTCTTAGTCACGGTTTTTGTCTCACTGGATTCAATGGTCTCTGTTGACAGCCCTCTTTTCGTCGGGATGGTCTTCTTTGAGTAGCTCTGCACAGTGTTGGTCACACTAGGTCTCATGGGGTCATCAGATTTCGATGTGATGCGAACTGTTTCCGAATAGTCATCACTTCCGATGCTCCCTCTTCTCACTATAGAGGTTGTTGTGCCGTTGTTTGTATCTCTGAAAGAAGGGGTGTGGTTTAGGGTGCTAGTGAAGCTTGGTTTTGGAGATGTGACATGGTCTACGCCATTCGTCATTGGCGAGCGGTATGGCGATGACAAAATACGGCCTGTTCTCATGGAATCATTTTCAGGAGTGGCGTTTTTACCGGAAGACCGGAATGAACTGCTGTAATCGAGGATTCTACTTGAAGATACGTTGTTTGAATTTCCGTTTTTATAGGGTGTGCTCTTATATAGACGCCCTGCAGGACTTGCAGACAGTGGTTTTATATCAGGATCTTCATCGCCATGAAGAGTTTTGTATAGTTCTGGTGCCCTGTCCATTAAACCCTTCAAGAAGAGTTTCTTTTTCGCTTCCTGAGTCGAGGGGATATTACTTACATACCCATTACTAACCAAATTACTTGTACTTTTAGAGAACGTGTAAGATTCTTTATTCCTTCCAAAAGCATTATCATCTTTATCCAGATTCGAGGATTCCGTAAGGTCGCGTTGGCTACGACTTATGCTTGCCAAGATCCCAGGGCTCTTTAGCGGTGGCGGAGACTCATCTAACCGATGCAGGTGTGGATTCGACTTATAGACGTTAGACACATCTCGACCTCTGGACCCCAAAAGCAGTGATGATGATGATTCAGTGTTGCCCGATCCTCCGGCGTGTACGTTGAAACTCTTACTGCGTGCGAGATTTGAGCGGTAGGTGCGAGCAGGTTTCGCGGGCCCTGTGGACGTAGAGATACCTACCCCATTGGTCAGTGGCTTATTAATTCCTATAGAAGATGTAGGAGGGGTGACGTTGTTGATTATAGAGACGTTGATCATGCTGTTGGAGTGAGGTTGATGCGATTTGTTGATTCGATTCAGGCGACTGGATTCCCACCGATGAGAATCGCTTGAGGTGCTGTTCCGTTGAATGTATGTTTGATTCTTGAGCCGCTCGTCGTAAAGCTTCCGCGGCAACGTCTGAGCATTCCGATTCGAGCTCAATTCTCCGTTAGGGCTGTAAGAGCTCCCACTCGCCAGGCGACTCGTCGATTTGCTCAGACGTCCCAAAGTGTTACTGCTCACTCTGGTTCTGAAAAAGCAAACACAATACATAAGAGCACCTAAATCATGTAAGTCACGACATTTACTCCCTTTAAATCATTTGTCTAGTGTCCACATACACATGACGTGTCACATAATTCATAGTGTTTGTCGTTATGTGGTCATGTAATATATCACGCGATCCATTGCGTTTAGAGATGAAGTGATAGGAGGTTAGAGAAAAGTGCACTACTTCTCAGAAAATCTAGTGGCGCCGGGAATCGAACCCGGTAGCTCTGAATCTGTAGCCAGGAAGTCTGACCACTATAGAGGCGGTCTGGCGCGTAACAAATTCTTTCAAACTGTACATATAACCATAAATACAAAAGTTTGATGGTTAAAAGTTACTGCCACTTCTTCCCTTCACAGATTAAACTTAAACCTCTCCCGACTTCATGGACATCTGCGCATGGCCACCCTATGTCTATATCCATTTAGCTTGTAACGAAGTGCCAGGTTCTGAGGCCCTGCTGTCCACTCTGTTGAAGTTGGTTAATATTTTCCTTCTTTTAATCCCCTATCTCTTGGCTTGAACGAATGAACATTTAACACCTCCCGTAGACTTATAACTTAGTACGTACCTTGACACTTACTAGAAATTTAATTTCCTCTCCTTCAGTTTTACAAACATATTTTTTGTTCTTAATCTGTTTCACTTCCTCATAAACGTGTCGGAACATCAGCGTTCTCTTTCCTGGCCGTTTTAAAGTTCTCTGTTTATAGTCCCACATATTTCATGTCATCGATGTACTTTATTTCCTACATCCAGCCAGCTTCGTAAGAAACGCTATTCCCAAAAACTTAAAATGTGAAACTTGTAAAAGTAAGTAAAGGTATCCCTGTAACAGGCCGTGGAGGTCCATAAGGTTGTGAGATGTTGAGGTTCCCATATTTTCTAGACTATCGGTTCATGGATGGCGACAAGGTTGTCAGCCTTACGCGCCGGCCGCCCTTTACCCCCAAGAATATTCCTGGTACTCATTTCTGTTAGAGGCTGAGTCGACCCCAGGGCCCTAGTACGGCTGGAAGGATTAGATCAATTGAGAAAACTCCAATGACCTCATCGGGACTTGAACCCACGACCTTCCGGCTTGTAGCATAGTGTCTCAACCACCTACGTTACGGCGTGCCCCCTGTGAAACTTGTTCTCAACAGAATTAAAAAAAAATAAACTTACTCTGCGGGGGACTTCATTACATTCATTTAGGTCATTAATTCTTTAGTCCGGTTTCCTTCTTAAGGACAGAAAGCAGGCTTATGATATGTGCGTTTGTGTGTGCGTGCGTCTCTTTTCTCCGAACAGTTGTCCGATTCTCATGAAACTTTGTTATGATCATCACGTTATTAGAAGCACCCCAAAGCCGTACTTCCTAATTTCCTACAATCCATAATACCCACCTGGCGAAAATGTGAGGTGAGTACCACTAGCAACACTTCATACAGAGTCCAGGTACGGAGGATGGTAAGACATCTTGGAAAATACATAATATTTGGTATCATACGTGTATGTGCACTCTAATAAATACAGTCAAAACATGCATTTGGTCTAGGTGAGATAATTTTTAGAACAGGCTGTTCCTTAATAGATGCAATTGATCAGAAATAAGTTTGTGAGGTCTCTTACAAAGCTGTCAGTTATCTCAGATTATACAGAGTCGACTGCCAGGATAACTTGTGAATAACGAATAGCAAAGGACTAAAAAAAAGTGGTCGCGGCCTAATGAGGTACTATCCCAACATTCTTCTTGGTAGGGCTGAAACCCCCACGGAAAAATCAGCATAATCGGTGTTCCGGCTGAGATTCAAACAGAGTACCTCCAAAATACAAGTGAAGAGAGCTACCGCTGCGTCAATCTGCTCATCAGAAACCGGGTAGCCTGGCCTACCTGTTTGTATATTATGTTCATTTCCGAATAAGATTAATATTGTTTGAAGGCAGAAGTCCATCGTAGCAGTATCACCTGCATCATAGTCTTAAAATGGGGTTGAAATTAAGAGGCACCAAAAATTTTACATTGCCAAAGTTAAAAAGAAATTTCAAAATCGTTTTCATAGCAACATTTAGAGATTCGCTGAAGTGGTTCTTTCTAACAACGATAATGTTTGCGTATATGAACCAGAGGCCACATCACGCCGTAAGTTACAGCCTGGACAGCTTATTTACTATGCACTCAACATATCAAACAGTTCAAACTAAAGTTATAAACAACACTGTCTGTTTACTGACTGTTGGTATTTCCTCGGCTCTACCTGTAGCGAAGACGCCTTGACTCGGTCACTGCAGCCTCGACTGTAAGCATAGAGTGGACTATGATGAAGGCTGGATATGATTCTTAAATAAATTACTTTCAAAGGAGTTTTATCAGAACAACCTTGCAACTCCAATAACCAGATCCAGGGGAGAAGTGGATGGTACAAAATGAGTTTCAGTTTACAGAAATTTGGTGGATACTGAATTACACGAAATTAGATAAACCAATTTTTCTGTTATATCGATATGACTGCGTTTTGGAGCGTATCCAATAAATAAAGATTGAAAGTTGCTGGCATACTTTGAACATTGATGTGTGGCTCTTGTAACCCCAGCTATTGGCTTTCCCGCACTGAACTGAACACGTTTACCTCTGTGGTAAAGCATCGCAATTTCTGTCGGTAGATCAGCTATGCTTGATGGTTTCGTCCAACCAACATCTCGGACGGTAAATATCACAGCTGTAGCTGTAGAGATGCATTTACAGTTCGGGAATATGGGGAATCTTATAACTTTAAAGCCGATCACAGTGGCAGTGCAGTCTAAGGCGTGTGCAATCTTCGCCAGCTTGAACACTGGGATCGTGGGTTCGAATCCCACTGGAGGCATGGATGTCTGTGTGTTTATTATGTGTTTGTGTTGTTCTGCGTGTAGGCAGAGGCCTTGCGACGGGCTGATCCCCGTCCAAGTAGTCCTATCGTCTGTGTATAGGATTAGAAAACTGAAAAGTAACCAAGGCATAGACATATAACATTAAAATTCATACACGAATTTTCAGAAAGAAAGAATCCAAAATTACAACTGCTGAGATCAATTTCGTAAGACAGCCTGGAAATATACAAGGAAAGACTGGAAAAGGAAGCAAAATATTTTAGATGAAAAAAAGACCAATGCGGCTGGGCCAACGTTTTAGGCTACAGGAAAAAAATTAATTTCACAAATTGCATAGAGATTACTTTGCTAATTAATTATTAAACGCAGACGAATTGGAACAAAGGGCCAAGAATAAACTGAGACCAGACTATTCAGCAGCCAATACGCGAATAGTTCATCAAACAGGCCGTTTCCTTGACTGGTAAGATTTGAGGTTCTCATGGTGGTAATACACATTACAGCCTTCTGTCTGTGACGTCGCAGATGCCCCTTCTACCCTGATGATGGAGACAGAAGGTTCTTACAAGACAAGAGCAAATAACTTGAGAGGCTTGAGGTCAATTTTGAATCTCCATCCACCTACAGACGTAAAGTCCATAACCTACGAGCAGCATAGTTTCGGCCAAAGGCATGGAATTGTCAGGTGGGCTTGCGTCATACAAAGCCGTCTGCCTTGAATTCCTGAAGTAAGACACAAATTAAAGGGCAAATAGTAGCATCATGACTCACAACCTTAGCAGAGTTACAAACATTTACAGAATTTGAAACTGCGTCAATATTTTTATTAATTTGATCCTTCACGTACTTGATAATAGCTAATCAGATTACAGATTTGGCCTAAATGTGACTTGCGATGAACATTTGCAAAACTGCCATGTTTGCTTGCTCTGTTGTCATGCATACCTTATTAGGAGATGAAGGTCACACACACAACACAAGCCTCAGCCATTTTGCAACCTGTACTCGCCTACGTAACATCTTTGTACAGCATCGGGATAATCCTTAGAGCTGTAACCACCAACGGACATTGAGTGAGGTTCCCTCGCATTGCCCAGAACGGAAATATGACGACAGATCTATCCTAAAATTCCAACATGTAACTTTAAGAACAGAACTATTTTTTTGCGATCTAACATCGTGTATTCTCTCTGGCGTTTAGCAAGGTTCCTTTGAGACTTCGCCCAAATTTTATCAGACTGCACAGCGTCACATTCCGTAAGACAGTGGTATTCACAGTCGTGAGAGTCTGGTCTTCTGGACTGTAGATACACATCGACGTTTTGGAGAAATATGTTGTCACCATCTTCAGGACTGAAGTGCCTAAGGCGAAGAATTAGATCTTATGTGAGGGTTTCAAGGAAAGTGGAGACTCAGAATGACGGGAGGGGGGGGGGGGNAGATGGAGGCCTGCCCGAGTCAATAGGAAATGTGGATCCGAGCGACCACCTTCCTAGCAACCTGCCTATTTAAGTCCTCTGATTCCTTACCCTACTAACTCCAACCCGAAGATTGGGGACAGAATGTTCCTCGAAACGTCGGTACACGCCTGCAAGACTAAACGGCGACAAAATGCAGAAGACTACGAGTACACTATGAAGAATCACAGCCGTGAACATTTCAAAACGCCTTTTACTTCACGGTTTCTAGACAAAGAGCAAATTCTCTGCCCTCTCAGCTGATAATACAGACACAAACATCAGGATTTGAGCCGAGGTACCTCAGACAGTACAACAATGGGCTAGAGGCTGGACGGCCAGAGTTCGATTCCCGGGGGGAGCAAGATATCTCTCTCTATTCCATAGCGTCCTGGCCGGCTCTAGGGCCGACCCAGCCACATGGGGTACCGAAGGCTTTTTCCCCGGGGGTAAAGAGGCCGGTGTGTGAAGCTGACCACTCACCTCCACATAGTGCCAAGGTCAAAAATTGTGTAGCTCTATGTCCACTCCCCCATACGTCTTCATGGTGTGGTGCTTAATGAATTAAGCACAGGCACAACTTTACCTCTTACCAACACCACGACTGGAAAGGCGCGCTACGGTTTGGAGCAGTGTGCTCCATATTGATTCGAAGCGCAAAGAACGCGTTGCAATTCTGATTTCAGACTGATTAAGAACGTGATCAAGCAACTGACACTGGCCTAATACAATTAAAGTTACAGGCAGATGCCACTTTAAAACAGCCTACAATAAAGAGGGCCCTGTACTACGTATTTTGGTCTCTTGTTAGAAAGAAGCCCCGCGCCTCGTTTTCACAGACGATGCTCCTGTGTCCAACTCATGGCTGTGCGACATTACATCTGGTGCGTGGGAAATGCCACTACCCCAATTTAAGGGAACAACATAGTAAGCATTTTACTATTAGGCCTATATCTGGTATCGTGGGAGTGCCGGTAACCAGAAGAAACAGAGGCATTGTGATATAGAGGCGTGAAGGGAGATGTCTTTTTTTTTTATTGCTAGTGGGGTGGGACTAAGTCCCTTGTACTGCGGCCACTTCTGGCCTATTGTACCAGCCCCAGATGATAGGTGAGGGTGATTGTGGAGCAATTGGTGGAATGAAGATTGGCAGGGGAAACCGAAATTCTCGGAGAAAACCTGCCCCAGAGCCAATTTGTCCACCACAAATCCCACTCGACCAGACCCGGGATCGAACCCGGGCCGCTGTGGTAGGAAGCCAGCGACTACCCGCTTGAGCTATGGCGAGGCCAAAGGGAGATGCTACTACAAAGATAGTTAATTATTTCAGGTTTCGTTTCGATTTGTTATGTGTAGAAGGAACGACAGAAACAGTTGGACCAACATCACATCCTCTTATGAACGTCAGCCTAGATCCACTCAGTCTAAAATTAGTTTGTACCTGTTCATATCTTCTTCTTCTCCCGGATGACTGCCCCTGCGAGGTCCATTCTGTCTGTGGTGTCTTCTGTTAGATTTGACGGGCGTGACACCATCGTACTCCCTCTCGCGCCCATAGATACTGCCCCCGAAAGGATCCTCCCCCAGGTAAAACCTCTGTACCACAGGAGATGTACCTCTCCGATGGTAGTCCATGCCGACGGACTCTTCGTTATTCTCCTGTCGTCCGGTCTGCGTGCTGCACTCTCTCGTGTCACTCCCGCCTCGACTAACTCTGGTAGATCTTCGCGGAGCAACTGGTTGACTTTCCCCGCCTTCGGCTGCCTCGCTGCCTCGCTCGGCCTCGTTTGGGGACTCGCCCCCGCGCCGTCCCACTCGCGATGACTTGCCGGGCCCCACCACGGAAGGAATGTTGCTATCAATGACGTGGTACTGCTGATAGGTGGAGCTAGTGTGAGGGTGATGCGGGGAAGGTGACCGAGACTGTCTCTTATTGCGACGTTTGTTCTTCCTCTCGGAACTGGAAGATCGGAACTTGTCGACAAGTTTTCGGAAAGATTCGCCAATGATAGACGTGGCGCTTTGTCCTGGCGACTTCGCACGTTGGCGGGCAGGAGGTGGCGGGATGTCGGCTGCGAACCGTGTCCGCTGATACAACTTCTTGTTCGGAGGAGGGGTGTCTCGTGTCCCTGGAGGATGATCCAAAGTAGGGGATGGGGAAGGAGACGGCGAGGCTCTGTTAGCATTCATCTGGGGCGGAGAGTAGTCCGAGGATGGCTCCGTTCCTTTGTTGTGCTCGCGACGGCGGTAGGAGCTGTCCCTCTCGAACCGGTTAGCATGCTCCTCCTGCAACATCCCATTCTTTTCGACTATTATAAACCGCTTGACAATGAGCGAAACTGAACGTTCTTCGCAGACCCACAAAATTACAGGATTTTAAGATCATTGCGACGCTAATTATAGAATTGTAATCAGTGGATCTTATCAACCAAATGAAAAGAGAATTTAGGAAAGACTCCGAAACGACGTAAGGATTATTTTGCAATAATTGTACAGGTCTCAGTAGGCCTAATACTGAAAAGGATGTTGATGATCATGAATATGACCAAAGTAAAGCATAAAACTAACATTTATGGACCTTGTCAACATAATGAAAAGGGAATTTGGAAAGGCCCCCTGAAACGACGTAAAGATTCTGTTTTTCATCAACTGTGCAGGCCTCGAGAGACTTAATACTGAAATGGAAGTTAATGACGGTGACAATGATGAATATGATTTCAATGGAGGCTGTGGACTCTGTTAAGTTTCTCTTCGAGATTATCAAAGAGTCAAATCACACATAGGCTGCAATTAATTCAATAAAAATCAGTACTAACANTTTGTCCACCACAAATCCCACTCGACCAGACCCGGGATCGAACCCGGGCCGCTGTGGTAGGAAGCCTGCGACTACCCGCTTGAGCTATGGCGAGGCCAAAGGGAGATGCTACTACAAAGATAGTTAATTATTTCAGGTTTCGTTTCGATTTGTTATGTGTAGAAGGAACGACAGAAACAGTTGGACCAACATCACATCCTCTTATGAACGTCAGCCTAGATCCACTCAGTCTAAAATTAGTTTGTACCTGTTCATATCTTCTTCTTCTCCCGGATGACTGCCCCTGCGAGGTCCATTCTGTCTGTGGTGTCTTCTGTTAGATTTGACGGGCGTGACACCATCGTACTCCCTCTCGCGCCCATAGATACTGCCCCCGAAAGGATCCTCCCCCAGGTAAAACCTCTGTACCACAGGAGATGTACCTCTCCGATGGTAGTCCATGCCGACGGACTCTTCGTTATTCTCCTGTCGTCCGGTCTGCGTGCTGCACTCTCTCGTGTCACTCCCGCCTCGACTAACTCTGGTAGATCTTCGCGGAGCAACTGGTTGACTTTCCCCGCCTTCGGCTGCCTCGCTGCCTCGCTCGGCCTCGTTTGGGGACTCGCCCCCGCGCCGTCCCACTCGCGATGACTTGCCGGGCCCCACCACGGAAGGAATGTTGCTATCAATGACGTGGTACTGCTGATAGGTGGAGCTAGTGTGAGGGTGATGCGGGGAAGGTGACCGAGACTGTCTCTTATTGCGACGTTTGTTCTTCCTCTCGGAACTGGAAGATCGGAACTTGTCGACAAGTTTTCGGAAAGATTCGCCAATGATAGACGTGGCGCTTTGTCCTGGCGACTTCGCACGTTGGCGGGCAGGAGGTGGCGGGATGTCGGCTGCGAACCGTGTCCGCTGATACAACTTCTTGTTCGGAGGAGGGGTGTCTCGTGTCCCTGGAGGATGATCCAAAGTAGGGGATGGGGAAGGAGACGGCGAGGCTCTGTTAGCATTCATCTGGGGCGGAGAGTAGTCCGAGGATGGCTCCGTTCCTTTGTTGTGCTCGCGACGGCGGTAGGAGCTGTCCCTCTCGAACCGGTTAGCATGCTCCTCCTGCAACATCCCATTCTTTTCGACTATTATAAACCGCTTGACAATGAGCGAAACTGAACGTTCTTCGCAGACCCACAAAATTACAGGATTTTAAGATCATTGCGACGCTAATTATAGAATTGTAATCAGTGGATCTTATCAACCAAATGAAAAGAGAATTTAGGAAAGACTCCGAAACGACGTAAGGATTATTTTGCAATAATTGTACAGGTCTCAGTAGGCCTAATACTGAAAAGGATGTTGATGATCATGAATATGACCAAAGTAAAGCATAAAACTAACATTTATGGACCTTGTCAACATAATGAAAAGGGAATTTGGAAAGGCCCCCTGAAACGACGTAAAGATTCTGTTTTTCATCAACTGTGCAGGCCTCGAGAGACTTAATACTGAAATGGAAGTTAATGACGGTGACAATGATGAATATGATTTCAATGGAGGCTGTGGACTCTGTTAAGTTTCTCTTCGAGATTATCAAAGAGTCAAATCACACATAGGCTGCAATTAATTCAATAAAAATCAGTACTAACAGTTATAATTTGTTATTTGTTATTTGTTCACTGGGAAAATCTCTGGTAACCTAATCCCAGTTTCCTATACCGTTAATATTAGGGCCCGCTATTGGACATGATCCTGATCCTATTCCATCTCTCATCATCACGATCTATTGTCTCAAGATTTATATTAATAGTATCCTTTTAGATTTTCCAAGTAACCGTTTGCCAAAAGGTTCCTCCATCAGAACTGTGCATACAGTTCTTGGCCCCTTCCAAAATTAAATGTTCCTACATTATAAAAATAAAGGAACCAACTCCGTGGCTTGAGTCCGCAACCGAACTATACCGACCGAGCGACCGACGTTTGTCGGCGAAGTTAGTGTCAACTTTAGCAGATAGAGGGTGTCGCGTGGCCAGCGAAACGAATCCCCATGGCCGTTAATTTCGGTTTTCTACACCGGAGCCGCTATTTCCTCAATTATCCTCATGAGGCTGAGTGGACCCCGTTCCAGACGCACTATCAGAAAATCTGGTAGCGCTGGGAATTGAAACCAGGACCTCAGGATCTGTAGCCAGGAACTCCGGCCACTAGACCACAGAGGCGGTCCGTTCCTATATAATGTAGTATAAGCGGTTTCAATGTCGCACTATCAAACCACATATTTCTTACCCAGTGACGTAATCACAACGTAAAGGTACTCCAGATGTTTACATGGTTTTCGAGGCCCGTTGCAGGGAAGCAGAAACAATGCAAACAAACTGATTTGTGTTCTTTTTGTAACTAAAGTTAGTTTCTCATAGCACGGTATACGTAATGCAAATAATAGTTGATGACATGAATGATGGATTGGAACGGATATGTAAGCAAGTATACTGGTCCTATTTTTAAGACACGGTCACGCTCATCAGAATTCTTACCTACTCACTTGCCATGAGCACCTTCCCACCTCGTTCAACAGTGTATATACTCTGCAATTGAACTAACTGAACAACTTATTAAGTAATTCCGAGGTTAATCTTCTTCATTAGAGACGTGACTGTTACTGAGCTGAGTACAAAACCTCATAGGTTTATGGAACGTAAGAGTTTATTAACGCGTTCACAAAATCCCTTAATTGAATCCTATCCTAGTCCAGTTGAATCCAATCTACGTCTCTAGACCCTCTTTCTTCATTATTAGAAATCAGTTAAAGTATACTCACGTCTTCGGAAACGACATGGCGCCTCCTATATGGTGGCTGTGGAGACTGAGCTCTGTCATCCTCTTCGTGAGAGACAGTCGTTGTCATATCATTGTACGCGTATTCGGTTCGCGAAGATGTCTTTTGGAGGTAGGGCGATGGGGCCCTATCCATACTCGAAAACCCATTAGGAGACTCCCCTCTCCCTTCCGGCCGAACGCTATTGTTGTAACTCTCATATGGAGACATCCTCTCTGGCGTTTTCTGCTGATGAGGCGAACGTCTTCCATTATTCAGCTTATGGTGCGATGAAGCTTTACGTTCGGTTGATAAGAAACTGCTACTCTCATGCGCTGCTGTCCTGTTTGTACTGTGTTGTGCCGTTGATTGGAACGGCGATGATCTGTCAGAGATGTGATTTGTGATTGGATGTGGTGACATTCTATCGAGATGATTATTGCTACTGTGTGGTGAAGAGACCTCCCCTTTGTTCTTTTGGTTAAAGGTGTGATTAGGACCTGAGGGGAGCACCTGAATGCGGTCAGGACGCTGGGGAGTGACAGATGTGAAAGTTTTTCTAATCTCTTTGACGTCGTTCCGACGCTCAGACCATTCGTTTACTCCTTGGAAAAATGCGTTTGCAGGAGCCGTGTCTGGTGGCGATAAGAATATCCTGGAAGATGTGTTGACCGTGGCTGTGTAAGTAGTTGGTGACGCGGAAGACACTGGAGTCGCCAATCGTGTTGATGCAGCCCTGTTGCTGTTGATAGGACGTGATGTCATCGTCACATTGATGTAACTGGTCCTGCCGCCAGGTGGTGCTGATGGAAGTTCATCGTCATCGATGGAATCTTTAGAAGAACGCGAATCACTCCCAAAATGATGCTCCAGCCATTTGGAAGTCTCAACTTTTCTTGTTTCTTCCTCTTGGTCGAAATCCAAAGGTTTCTTTGTCAGAGCATCTTTACGGTCGATTGGAAGTGGGGCGGCACCCAGAGGATCTCCCGTAGAAGGTATTCCTTTCGTGTGGTGAGGCTTCGTGCCTTGTCTCCGCATTCTTCTAATTCGTGTTGATAAACTGTCCCATTCCTGGTGGTCTGCCATGTCTGCAGGATCCCCGTGGCGCTCTCCCTCCAAGTTTTCGGCGACGTACCTCATTTCTTCGCCGATTTTGACACCATCAGCTATGTACTCGACTAAGTCCTGGTCCTTACTTTTAACAAAACGATGAGAGCTCTCTCGTCGGGTTTCTTCTTCTTCGCTGTGGCTGCCCGTTTCATCAGGCTCCTCTTTGTCTCGGACCTCCTCGTGTTCTCTGGTCCGCCGTGTTTCAGTCACGAGGCGTCCGTCTCCTTGTACCTGACTTAGTTCCTCGGTGTCTTCAGTGTCAACGACCTTGCGACTCTTGCTGGACTGGTGAACCACTTTAGGGGTTGAGCTCACGACTTTCTTGGTCTCGTCAAGTTGAGGACTCGCAGACCGAAGTGCTTCCCGCACGTCCAATTGATTCTGGACGGCTGTCTGGTACGCCTGCAACAAGAAATGTAACATAAACCCCCAACTCGTTTGGTAACTTACTGCATGCAATCTAAGTGCCTTATTTGATTAACCGTCTTGTTGAAAGCCTAACTACCTTACGAGACTGGCCTTGAAATTCATTAACTATCTACAATCACTTCATGTTTAATGCCTAATTCACTACCGACGTTTCGGAAGAACGCAATGTATCCATTTCCGCGGTAGAAGAGTAAGCCGAGCAAATAAACACAACCGGTTTACTTGTCGACCCTGAAGATGGAAGCAGTATGTTCCTCTAAAAGTCGATAAACGTCTACCATACCACACGGCGTCACATTTAGTTTACTGCTTGCTTACTTATTTGTCGGCTTTGTTTTTTTTTAATTCGCTTAGTGGGGGTGGAGTCCTACTGTGTTCACTCGGAACGGCTGCACTGATTGGCCTATTGTAGGCTGGCCAGGGTGATTATGATGATGGAGAATTTGTTGGAATGAAGATTGGCAGGGGAAACCGAAGTACTCGGAGAAAACCCGTCCCAGCGCCACTTTGTCCATCACAAATCTCAAGTGACCAAACCCCGGGATGGAACCCGGGCCGCCGCGTTCGGAAGCCAGCGACTAACCGCTTGAGCTATGGCGCGNGAATGCAGAGAGCAGTAGCTGCTGCTCTCTGCATTCACAAGCCATTCACCTGCTCTGAAGATGGAGGCGATACGTTCCTCCGAAACGTCGGCCAAAACGAAGAATACACGGCGCCAAAACCCAGAAGACGACTTTCTTCATAGTCATCGCCGTGAAAACCTCAAAACTTACATTCATGTGGATCCTTTGCGTCTGTTCGTGTGCTCATCCTTTGAGCTTCCATATGAGAGATACGAAATGGTTAAGTGTACGTAGCTGACAGGATAAGCAGTAGCTTGCATATCAGGGTCACTAAAAGTTCTTCAAATTACCATATGCAGGAATTTGGCTAACATGAAGGATATAATAGAACCTCTCTAAAATGGGACTTGAATTAATTGCAAAGGTGTCTTTATTCAGACAGTATCGACGAATTGAGCTGCCTCTATGAAATGCTCTGTGCAAAGGCCAAAAGATACAAAATAGTTCTATTCAGACAGTTTTATTCCATACTGTGCTTCCTGGAAATTGTCTGATGTTATCATTCTCCGCATACTTACGAAGGAAAGAATTATATACGATAATCGACAAAATATGTGCAGAATACTTCAACGGACTACTAGAAAAAATAAAATAAAACAAACAGAAAATGCACTTACAGCGTAACATTTGCGGCGCGCTCAGATACTGCGTCTTGATTTTTCTGTAGATATCAGACAGTGGTCGTAAGTTTAAACAGAGAGATTGTGACTTTAGATCTTGATCTTCTGAGAAATTAATGAATGGGATGGCTGCAGCTTCTCTCTCGTCGCAGTGGAGTAGGAGACAGAATGCGATACCCCCCCCCCAAAAAAAAACATTCGCGTCCTCGTTTAAAAGTCCCGGTATTTTTGTCCGACTTGAAATCAAAATTGAATTATATAAACAGATTTTTAGTAAAACTTCCCAGCACAAACCGTCGCGAATATCCATCAAATGGGAGAAGAAATGTTTCATGCGGACAGACGGACGGAGGAAAACATACAGACATGACAGAACTAACGGGTAATTTTACCAATTTTTCGAATGCTCCTAAAAAACGCAAAACGCGTCTGAATTTCTGACTTATGATTTGTATCATAAATACGTCCTATGTTAATATCTGGTTTATCTAGAAATAGCCGAATGCCTTTATTAAACGGAAAATTGTCCGAACCGAATAAGTGCACGAGTCCCTTGCGATTACTCGCCAGGATTTACCATACTTTAAAAACACTGAGTATTTATACATTATCATATAAGTAGTATATATGAGAAATTATTGTTAAGGGTCAAGAAAACGAACTCGAGATTTTTATGGATTTACACGTTTTCATTTCCTCTGAAGCTATTTTTGGTATGCAGTATGTATGTACGTATGTATGCATGCATGTGTGGATGAACGGATGGACGGACGGACGGACATACAGACAGACATACACACAGATAGACAGACGGACGGACATATGTATGTATGAGTTGTTGTGCGTCTCACTAGCGCCCGAACGGTTGAGTGGATTTTATTCATATTTCTCACTCAAGAGTCTGTCCGTCCATGTCGGTGATCGGTGAATATGAAACAATCCAGCTCCAAAAATGGGTGCTCTTTATATCGGCCCCAATATAACAAAACTGCAGTTTTCTTGAAGAAGGCTTTAACGATTTTGATCAAATTTCAGTCAACTATAGGACCATCTGCCTAAATAATATTGCATAAGTGGTACCTTCAGGAAAATAACGGTAAGCACACTAAGAACGCAGACGCAAAATGTAGATTTTATTGAAACTGAATTTACCGATCAGAAGGATTCAATTGTTTTTCGGTATTCAGTAACCCTAAATAATCTGAGGAGAAACAATCGATTTCGTTTTCGAGGTAACGCAGTGAAGGTGAGTAGAATATGAGAAACCGACTGTCTTTGCGCAGCTTATGTACTTTGAGTTATCAGCCTCTACTGTTAACTTCCTGTTGACCAACTCTCTAACCTGCCAGGAACGACACCGCAACAATTAAGAGCATGTAACCCCTGAATTCCGCAACTGTTGTATTCCCAAGAATGATCGCGTAATTCGAAACTTCTGATACTTCTGTCATTTCATTATTCGAGTTCTTATATTAGCTAAAACATTATTAACATTAATATCGGCCGCGCCATAGCTTAAGCGGTTAGTCGCTGGCTTCCCACCGCGGCGGCCCGGGTTCAAACCAGGGTCTGGTCAAGTGGGATTTGTGGTGGACAAAGTGGCACTGGGGCAGGTTTTATCAGAATACTTCGGTTTCCCCTACCAATCTTCATTCCACTAAATTCTCCATCATCATAATCACCCGGGGTAGGTACAATAGGCCAATCAGTGGCCGCCGTGCCGAGTGGACCCAACTGGACTCTACCCCCCACTAAGCGAACTAAAAAAAAAAGTTGATATGCAACAATTAATTTTAATGTCATTCATTTAAGCCTTTTACGAATCTCAATTTTTATATTTCAGTCAAAATAACTTTATTGTTTTTAATTCTGAGTGAAAACAATTATATTCTAGAATTCATAAAAACTGTTATCACGAAATTCACACAAATCGATGTCGTTTAAGTCGAGAGTTACCTGTACTGACCTGTCGTATAGGCAAAGTAACCGACACGTGTGTAAGGCGTGTGGTCTCATTATATTTACAGGTTTGAGATAAAACATTTCATACAGAAAACAAGGAGACTCCTTCAGATGGAGTTAAAATCATTTTCTGTAACGTATGTTCATAATTACAACTCTGTATTGTTTAGAATCCTTGTCATTTTACTTTCTTCTTTTTTAATTTATTCTTATTTTTCTCTGACGCGTTTATTGTCTACTCCCTTTATCTCCAAGTGAATACTTCTCTTCGTTAATGTGAATGTAAAGCTTTCCCCATGCCTATGTATCACGCCATAAAGACGTACGGGGGTAGTGAAGGTAATGCTCCACTCATCATTTCAACCTTGGTACTATAAGAAAGTGAGTGATCAGCTTCACGCTCTAACCGCCTTACTTCCGGAGAGAGAAGCTCTAGACTATAGAGCTTCTCTCTAGAGTCTAGAGTCTCTCTGAATGAATGTCGGAAAAGCATCCCTCTTCAGGTCAAAGATGGCCCTCGGTCGTCTAGACCGTGGAAATTCACCTGACCGCCTCTGTGGTCTAGTGGTCAGAGTTCCTGGCTACGGATCCAGAGGTTCCGGGTTCGATCCCCGGCGCTACCTGATTTTCTGAGAAGTATTGGGTCTGGAACGGGGTTCACTCAGCCTCGTGAGGATAGATAATTGAGGAGATATTTTAAGAAAATAGCGGCTCCGGTCTAGAAAACCGAGACTAGCGGCAGCGGAGAACCGTTGCGTTGACCACGTGACACCCTCTATTCGCTAAAATTGGCACTAACTTCGCCGACAAGCGGCCGTCGCTCGGTCGGTATAGTTCGCTCGCGGACTACAGGCAACGGAGTTTGTTTTTGTTTGACTGAGCTATTCTTGTTGTTCTTTTCCCTTTAAGGTTTCCTAATGAAAGTTCTGATAGCATGTTTCGTTTCCCAAAATCTTGTCCCATGTCCTGCCTATCTCATCCTACTCGACTTAGAAGTAAACAGACTCTCCGTCTCTCGATGGGTGTATTTGGTTAACGATTAAATGAAGGATCTAAATAATTAACTAAGTAACTAACTCACTTCTTCCATGGAGCCGCGTCCTTCTTGAGAAGCCATGAGTCACTCAGTTACTCAAGAACTTCCCAACATTTTATGGAAGCCCAATTTTTATTACCATGTTATCAAGAGTACGCCATTGGTCTTTGTCCTCAGCCAGATGAAGGATCTGCCAATGAATTCCGCTGTACAGCTTAAAAACGTTCCTAAAGCATATCTAGTCAGAGTGCTTCACTTCAATCGGGAAACTGTGATGAGAAGATATAGGTTCTGTAGCAAGAAAGCATCCAACTCAACGGATACATGAGAATTGCCAACATCTGAAACATAACTGAAAGTTTAAGCACGAATATTGTAATAATGGTGCGACAATCACCATTACCTGGAAACGGCATTTCCTAACACATGCTGTCATGCAGGAAGGTCGCGCAAATCATCCTCTCTCCATGCGCACAAGAATAACAACTTGGAAACTGTCCGCTTTGAAGACGGCGAAAGTTATGGAATGACATTTACAGTGCATTTATTGAAAAATATCGTCAAGGTGGGACTTTAATGTAGCTGGTTCAGGATGATATCCAGTGGTGGACTTTGGCATTAGCGGTGCTGTATCTTTGGAATTTTACTGTCACAGAGTTAGGTTGTGCGTAAATCTGGAAGCGACCTCTAAGTAAAAAGCAAAGACTCAAGCCATTTAAAACAAAGTACCGT